TATATATATATATATATATATATATATATAAAGAAAGAAAGAATATCTAGTAGTAGTAGTTTTATGTACAACAATTAATCTAGTTTAGCAGAGAAATATACGGCAAGTATATAATATGTATAGTATATTATATATGTATATAGCTAAATAGATAGATTTAAATATATTATAGTATATTATCTATAGAGTATACTAGTAGTTTAGGTTCTATTGTGGATAAGTCTGTGAATATAATTGTAATTTAGTTGCGATACAAGAATTGAGTAAAAAGGCCAAAAAAAAGGTTTTGTTTGTGTTGTTGATTGGCATAAAAAAATAAATTTGAATACAAATAAAAGGACATAACATAAGTATTTATAATTGTTTATTATTATTATTATCTGTATATAAAGATAATAATAAATAATAAACAAGAATAAGAAGAAAAGAAAAGAAGTATAATAAATAAATGGTGTGAATAATCGTCAAATAAATCCATCAAATATATAAATATATATCCAATAAATAAATAAATAAATAAAATAGATAATAGGATTATGGAGTAAAAGTAGTTTGTTGTTGAATAAGAGGTGGACTAAATGGGAATACAGGTGCACCCCAAGTAATATTGATTTCTGTGGTTTGTGCCGAAGAAGCGGAAGGAATACCCAATAGATCTAGATCCCTATTTCCAATATTAGTTTGTCCAATAAAAGAAGAAACAGGTACTTCTGTTGCTTCTGCTGCTTGTTTCCCTCCTAGTAGACCTCCTTTTAATAGATTTTTTTCTTGATTATATTTATCTGTAGCTTTTTTTATAATACTTTGTTTAATTCTTTTTCTTTTTTGCCAGAAATTAAGAAATGGCTGTTTAACCCATTGAGTAAATCTTTTAAATAAAGATTTAATATTTAATTCAAATTGTAATAAAATATTAAATTCAGACTTTAATATTTGCCATATACTAATTAACATCATAGGTAATACTAAATAAGGAGTTAATATACCTAATATACCTACCTTAAATATATCCTGTACTGCTGTTGTTGCTGCATTTGTTATTGCTGGTGCTATTACATCTACAGGACATATAGGACCAATAACTAAATTCTCTAAACAATCTACAGCAGGACCTAGACCTGAATCAGCAAGATGTTGTGTTATATCTGTTATAGATATAAATGTATACATAAAAAAGAATCCTAATGTAAGCATAGAGAATATAGCCTTTTTTCTTGCTTCTTTCTTCTCTTTTATCCATTGTATAATAAAATTACCATAATAAGGAGCTTGGTATATTAAAGAAGTACCTAAATTAATTAGACCCATACTTGTATTTATTTTTCCTGCTAATAATAAATTATATGCAAAAAAAGTACCACCACCATACTTCATTCTTTTTATATTTTCTTTACTTTGTTTATCTATTATATTCTCGTAATAATCTGTCTGTATATTTAATCCTATACGGAAAGAATTTACTTTATTAGGATTATTTATATTATTTATTATGTCTATTTTCTTCATTTCTTCATCATATTCTCTTAATCTATTAGGGTTTTGTATATTATTTAGTATTAATGTTGTTAATAATAACCATAAAGATTCACAATGATCCATACACATACTATAATTAAATTCTTTTTCTTTTTCTTCTTTATTCATATAAATATAATTAGGATTTATTGATAAAAAACCATGATTCCTTTTATATGCAGATTTATATACACCTTCTTTCTTGTATATTTCCTCATTTAATGATGAATATACATCATAATTTATTATACGCTTATTATTATCTAAATTACTTATTATATATTCCTTTACTATCTCTATAAATCCTTCTTTTATATGATTATATATACCTGTACTTTTTACTACTTCTGCTGCATTATTTACTGCATGCATTATATTTATTACTTTATCTATATTTATCTTTACCCCTATCCATACAGCATATTCATTTTGTTTAGGGGATCTAATTAATGCCCTAAATAAATTATTTATTTTATTTAATGCTTTTTTTATTCGTGATTCACGGGGTGTCTGTACAACTCGACCTAAAAATATTGTATTATCTATTTCTTTTTCTAATCTTTCTTTGCTTTCTTTTACTAATAAAGCAACAGGATCTCCTGCTGCTGCTGCTGCTGCACCATAAGGATGAGATAAATAAGCAGATAATGCATGTAGCCATTTATTATTTATCTCTTTTTCCCATCTAGTTAGATCAGGTATAGCTATTTTATCATAAGAAATATGTTTAGGTAATTTTCCTCCTTTTCTTAATCTTCTTGTTAATGATGCAGGTATACCATACTCTGCCCATTCATTTAATTGTTTATCTGTTTTCTTAACTAATCCATCCTCATCTAATTTATATTCTTCTTCTTCTTCTTTCCTTTTACCAGCTGTATATACACCTAAATCATGATACATAAAACTATTCTGATTTACTTGTAGTGCTGCTTGTGTATGTACAATAAAATCAAAGGAATTAACTAACGAAGGAAGAATTGAT